GTGCTAAGTAAATATGAGTATTCAACAGATACTTGCTCATTGATTATAGACTAAGAAAAAGCAACAATGAGAACAAACGATATGTATGTTTATGTCCAAACATAAAAGTCTTTCAAACTCATGTGAACCTTTAGAAAATGGCACAGTTCTACTTTGCTAGGTTCTTTTCCCACATATTATGCTCCCTGGTTTCAGTTTTTTTTTTTTTTCCCTTTAGATGGCATTCAGCTTTCCTGGAGATTCCTCAGGGAATTTCCAGTTTTGCAAAGCACAGTGTACCAGAATACCTTGCCAATGAATAGAAGTCCACGACAACACTACAAAAAACACCAGAGATTCTTTCCCTTATTTCAGTAAAAAAACAAAACAAAACAAAACAAAAAACCCTGCTATAATCATGAAACAGCCTTCCTCCTCTACTGCACAATTCTCTCACAAAACAACTTTGCATGGTATCCAAATGTCCTTAGAGTTAAATGCCTTAGCAAATGTTGGTAACATTCTATATATGGTAAGTTTTATCACACGGGACTTCCAGCAAAGACTTCATGCCAGTAAAAGGGAAGAAAAATTAAATGTATAATAAACAAATAAAGTAAACATAGGAAATACATATTAACCAAAAAAAAAAAAAAATCTCCGAAGGCGATTTCTGTGTAAGTAAAAATGGGACTCAAGGAAATTATGCGGTGTATATTACATAAAGATGTATAAAGTATACCAATGATGGCATATCAAAATACAGTGTATAGGGCACCTGGGTGGCTCAGTTGGTTAAGCGACTGCCTTCAGCTCAGGTCATGATCCTGGAGTCCCGGGATCGAGTCCCTGCTCGGCAGGGAGTCTGCTTCTCCCTCTGACCCTCCTCCCTCTCATGCTCTCTGTCTCTCATTCTCTCTGTCTCAAATAAATAAATAAAATCTTTAAAAAAAAATACAGTGTATATATTATAAGGCCCTTATAATTCTAAAATTTGGTCACATCTCAGAAACACTGAGCTGTTGGGCTAGAAAATTCTTCTTGCATAGGAGAATCTGAGATTTAGCAGCAGAAGGAAGGAAATCCATATTTTTGTCTTATCCTGAAAACTTCAGTGACTAGGGCAAAATTCATTGTACTGAAGAATTATTTCTGGCTTGGGATAATTATAATGAAACAGCAGAGATAAGCAGGAAGAAAATCCACACTTATTGAAATAGGTTTATTTACAACAGCTTACATCACATACAGACCACTGAAACCTATATGAGGGAGGACAGTAAGCTACTCAACATGGCATCTGACAATCAGCACCCAATCCATTCAACAACTAAACTTAACTGTCAAACTTCAGATAGGAAAAGAAGGATGGAAATGATTCCGAAGAGTCAGACTTTTGTTTATTCAGTTAACAAATACTTGTTGAGCTTCTACCACGTGCCAGGCCCTATTGTGGCCACTTGTGATATATCAGTGATCAAAACAGATGAATGTCCTTGCTCTCACGGAGCCTACATTCTAGTAAGGATATGGTGATAGTGATTTGTACAGTGTGATATGCCACTTTTATGAATTTCAAAAACAAAAACAAATAGATATATATTTGTGTGTATATTTATATGTATATATACATACATATACATACATACATATATATACATACATATATATACATATATATGTATTTGTGACCAGGAATGTGGTTGAACTGAGGCCTCAGCCAATTTTATGAGGAGCTTTGGAACTGGGATAGCCCTTCAGAAATGTAGTGGATTAGGGCGAGGGGGTAGTCATTGGTCCTCGGCCACTCCTTGAGGGGCAGAACCCTGGGCAAGACAGTACTCAGAGAAAGAGGCAGTTATGAGCAATCAGTAGCTGATTGTTCTAGCAGCTGGAAGATGAGTGTGTAAGCCCTGAAGAAATGATTTGGAAAATCACCACCATGTCTCCTAAATTTTTAGAAGCTAGAACATCATGATGGTTAAAACAGACTGAGGTTAAAATTTGAGGTCTAGGTGGCCTTAAGAAAGTTAGTTGAAATCTATTAGAAAATTTTTCATCTGTATATAGTGGTTGTAATGATACTAAAACAAGATTATTATAAGGATTATATAAATTTTAAAATAAGTAAAGAAACTTGTATAGTGCTTGATCCATGATTTCGATAAATGGGAGCTTTTACAACTACTATATTAATAGCTTACATTCTTTCAACGAGATTGGGCATGTGCAAATAAACAATCAGGTGTCTCTGATATCGCATAATTTGAGAAGTTTTCAGTACCTATTGATGTCAGTGCCTAGGAAGTGTTCTGAGTTGTAGTCACAATTATCAGACAAGTGTCTGAGATAGCAAATGGATTTAATCTCAAATTCCAACCAAGAGAATCAGTAGTAGCTGCTGAAGAGTGTGGTGTTAGGAAACTTTCTGAGGAGACATTCACTTGCAGTTAGGATTCAACTGGATGTGAAAGAACTTTGTGCAAGGATAAGTTAATAGAATTTATCTAAACCAAGGAAGACAGACAAAAATGATTTTAGAAAATGAAAAAAGCATAAGGAATTGTGGTATAATATCAGATGGTCTAACATACAAGCAGTTGGAGACCCAGAAAGGGAGGGGAAGGACAAGGGGACATACAAACATGTTTGAAGCAAGAATGGTCTAAGATTTTCCAAAAACAATGAACGAATGCATGTTCATTTTAGGTAGTTGGCATATAGGTATTGGTTATATCAATCTACATTTTTACTTAATTTTTAACTTTCTTTCTTTTTTTTTAAAGATTTTATTTATTTATTTGACAGAGAGAGAGAGATAGCGAGAGCAGGAACACAAGCAGGGGGAGTGGGAGAAGGAGAAGCAGGCTTCCCACGGAGCAGGGAGCCCGATGTGGGGCTCGATCCCAGGACCCTGGGATCATAACCTGAGCTGAAGGCAGATGTTTAACAACTGAGCCACCCAGGCGCCCCTTAATTTTTAACTTTCAATATTGAAAAGATCAAGGTCTAAGAGAACAGGTTTTGGAATCAGGCTACATGTGTTTGAGTCTGTTCCATAATTATTAATGTGTCACCTTAAGCAGGTTTCTTTAGCTCTCTAAGCTCTGCCTACTCATCTGTAAACTGGATGTAATCACACACATGCCTTATAGAGAACATTATAAAATAATAAATGTTACATTTTTAGCATAGTTCCTGGCACCTAGAAAGAGCACAATAAGTATAAAATTTCTCCTCCCCCTCCTCTCCTCCTCCTCAATTTCCTCCTCAGCTTCCTCCTCATCCTCCTCCTTTCTCTTCCTTCTCCATCACCTAGAAAAATTCTCAGCAGTGGTCATGCCTATGCCCAAACACCAAATTCTTATCTGATACAGAAAACTATAAAGCTATTCCCAGGCCACCATAATTAAACAAAAAGTTGCTTCTAATGCATTATGAATGAGGTACCATACATGCCTCATCATGGAGAGGGTGAGCCAGCATGTACAGGGAAGAGACTGGAACAATCAGGTCTGTCCATATCTGAGGACGTATCCTCTGGTCAAGCATACCTTTCTGCTGAACATAGCACAAGGTCTGGAGAATAATGCCAAGCAGCCCACCACTCCTTGACTAAGCTTTTGTTCTGAAGAGAAAGCAAGACAATTCAAATAGCCCACCAACAACATTATGGTTTCCAACTTCCTTCCTAACCAAGCTTAGCGTTTAGTTTGCTTTTCTGGCACAGCAATACACTAGAATGATATCTTGTTTGGTGAGTCTACACCAACTTTGGTTCCCTGTTTAATGGCCAGTGATCCTTTATGTTTGCACTGTTTTTCTCGATTGTACTATCTGGCATTTTTCCATACAGAAAAATAGTGCTGATTTTCTTGCATACACAGCATTAAAATTTTCATACTATTTATTTCCATTGGTTTTCAATTTCTTAGGAAGAGCTACATGTCTTCTAGAAATCCAGAAAATTTCTCTCTGTTCTCTTTTTTCCAGATTACTTCTAAAAATGGTAAAGGAGAACAGTCCCAGTTTTTATCCTTGGAGAAGCACTGTGTACAGTTGACCTTGAATAACACAGGTTTGAACTGCATGGGTCCACTTATATAAGAATTTTTTTACAATACAGTACTGTAAATGTATTTTCTCTTCCTTATGATTTTCTTCGTAACTATTTCTTTTCTCTAGCTTACTTTCTTGTAAGAATACATTATATAATACGTATAACAGAAAATAAGTTAATCAACTGTTTATGTTATCAGGAAGGCTTCTGGTCAATAGTAGGCTATTAGTAGTTAGGTTCTGGGGCAGTCAAAAGTCACACGTGGATTTTTGACTCGACCGGATCAGTGCCCCCTAACCCCCCACATTGTTCAAGGGTTGACTGTATACCCTTTTTCAATTAGTGTTTATTTCTGCCTTGAGTTGTGATCTTCAAGGCAGTTTATCAAATCACACATTTTAACGCATTTAGTTAACAAATACTTATTTACCAGACATCTTTCTTGGTGATGGAGACACATTAATGAATATACCAAAAACATGGTGAAGATCTTGACTTTGTTGAGCTTACAGCTTAGTGAGGAAGAAAGACACAGTAATACATCACCCCTGATATGAGAACAACAGCCTTATGGTGACAGCCTAATGAGCATCCATGAGGTCAAGTCCTTGTATAAGGTCAAATCCTTGTAACAAATGGAAATATCTATAAAACCTCCTGATGGTTCTTCTTCTCTGATTGAACCCTGACTGATACAAGTGTTGAGCAGGTTTGCATAGGCGTTCCATACCTGAGGGCGGCAGAGAAGCTCCAGGCAAGGCAGGTGGTGAGAGGCACACAGGGAGAGAGTTTGCTCTTGCGCTAAATTGGCTGAAGCCGACCTTGGACAGGTGGCTGCAGCGGTGGCTGGAACAGGAGGTGAGGCTGGAGGATCTGAAATGGGGCACAAGGAGGCGCCTGACACAGCATTCCATAAATAGGAGTGTTTATTGGAGGGGCACCTGGGTGGCTCAGTCGTTAAGCGTCTGCCTTCGGCCCAGGTCATGATCCCAGGGTCCTGGGATTGAGCCCCGCATCAGGCTCCCTGCTCGGCGGGAAGCCTGCTTCTCCCTCGCCCACTCCCCCTGCTTGTGTTCCCTCTCTCGCTGTGTCTCTCTCTGTCAAATAAATAAATAAAATCTTTAAAAAAAAAAAAAAAAAGAGTGTTTATTGGATGCTCAGGAAATTCCCAGTGCAGTTAGGAGGGGATAACAAGGGGAGAATTTATGGTTCTCTATCCCCGCAGCACATTGCCCTCAAATAAATGTCACCACATTGGCTAGGGTAATTGTAACATTCCCTTTTTCTTATTAAAGTTTGTTCCTTACCTTAGTCTGGGATGATTTCAGGTTTCAACTGAATATCCATATTTGGTAAGGAGGCCGATGCCTCTGCTGCTGTAAAAAGTGCAACTTGTCGCCATGAACTTGGAAAGAATTGTGAATGTTCTTCCTTTGGTGGTGTGAAGCACTGAGTCCATAAAGTCAACAACAGGGGACCTTGGGGAGTCTTTAAAAATAGGATGGCTTCTTCGTGTTTGGACAGCTTCCCAGCACTTCTCTCCTAAATGCGTTCTTTTTTTTTTTTTTAAGATTTTATTTATTTACTTCTTTTGACAGAGAGAGACATAGCGAGAGGAGGAACACAAGCAGGGGGAGTGGGAGAGGGAGAAGCAGGCTTCCCGCAGAGCAGGGCAGGTTTTGACACTGCTCTTATCTTGTAACTCTCACCTCTTTCCCTTTCTTAACTCATCTTTAGCAAAAGGAGGGGATTATTGCAACTGTAACAGCAATGTGACAAAAAAAGGGGCCTGGGCTTGGTACATATTCACAGCGTGTGTGCAATGTTTGCAAATTTCCTGCTATGTTTTGCCTGACTATAAATGTTTACAACGTAAACCCATGCCTATTGTAAACAGCTGTTTTTACACTACTGAACAGAAACTAGGAAATCAGGGCTTTTGTTAACTAGCTTTGTGTCTTTGGGTAAGTAATGTAAACTCTCTGGGCTTCGGCTTCTTTTTTTTACATATAAGGCATTTTGGTTAAATAAATTTCCTTCTCTTAAGAAAAGTTTATTCTTTAGGCTTTCATTTTGCAATGAAATTTCCAATCAACAAAGAAGCCCAGAAAATGTCAGGAAAAGTAACATGATATCAAGTCTTATTATTATTCAGTTTCAAATTCCATTGATATTAATAATTTAATTTAATGGCAGTTTGTGAATGGAGTTGTTTATTCTCTTAACAGAGGAAAAAGTAACACCCAAGTCCTTATTATACTGGGACACATTGTTTTTAGATATTTATCACTTGAAAGTGGCAGAAAAAAATTCCTTTTTGGATTTTCTAAAGGAAATGAAACAATTCACCTTAATAGTAGTAAGTCAGCTAAATGAAGCTTCCGCACATCATATTCCCTGGGGAGTACCTTGAAGGAAAGATCAAAACCCTTTTAAAATCCCTGTGGCCTCAAAAGCTTTCATTTTTCTTGGGAAGTTCCCCTGATTCATGGAATTCAAAAAAATCTAAAGATTCAGATCTGATGAAAACTGAAAGAAAATTCCCTCACACTTGTGTTTATCAACATTTTAAAAGAACGAAGTTTAAAATCTTGGTGGGTGAGCTGGTCCTGATATGAGACATTCTGAGACCATCTTCTTTGACCTGATTCCTATTGGATATAAAAATAAATCCAACCCAGCAGCCAGGAAGGACTACGCTTTTCTGCATAAAAATAAAATGGATCAAACTCTCTGACAATGAAACAAAAGCATGGTAAGTAAGGAAGGTGAGGAGGAGGAAAATAAGATCCTAAGTCTTAGAAACCAGAAAGAGAAACGTACCACCCAAGCCATTAGCTGTGACTGCAACACGGCCATTTCTTGCACGTCTGGTTCCCAGGGCTCCACTGGTTATCACGAACATGACACTCTGTGCGCGTGAGCGCATAGCTCAGCTCGAGGCTAAGTGCTTCCACATGCGCAGTTCAGGTGTATCTGAATGGATTCAGGCAAATCTATTTTCATGACAGTGCCAAAGATCCTCCTGGAAAACAACTTATCCTAAGGGAAGAGAGAGCCAGATGTTATGTGCTGAACCAAATATCAAGGCTTGGTCATCAGAAAAGAGGAGAGAAGAGAGATTCTGAGTTCACTCCCTCAAGAGACTCCTGTGTCCCTTAGATTGATGTCTTGCCCATGGACCCTTTCTGGGTCGGGGCGGGGAGAGCCAAGTGAGAGCGCAAGCACGAACAGAGCATTTCCACGAAAGCTCAGCAAGGTATTGGTAGTCCTCTGAATAGGGTAATGCAAAATGGGGAAAAGAGGCATACCTCTATTTAGCACAATCCAACAAAGCGTTTTAGCACATCGAGGGAGAAGTGCACGGCAAGTGACTATAGTCCTCGGGTGGGATGTAGCAGATGCTTAAGAAGTAGCAGTGGGATCTGTTGGATGTCCCATGATAACTGACTGGATATGTTCATTAACACTCTTAGAAATCCACTATTACTGGGGCGCCTGGGTGGCTCAGTCAGTTGAGCATCTGCCTTCGGCTCGGGTTGTGATCTCAGGGTCCTGGGATCGAGCCCCGCATCAAGCTCCCTGCTCAGGGAGCTCCACCCCCACCCACCCGCCTCTTCCCTGCTCATGCTCTCTCTCTCCTTCCTTCTCAAATAAATAAAACCTTAAAAAAAAAAAAAGAAACCCACTATTACTTCCAGAAAGTTTATAGGCAAAAAGATGGGTGTATTGATCAAGAGAGGCGAGGTGATCATAACAAATGTGTCATCTCTGCTTACAAGCCAATGATCAGAAGAAGTCCTATATCCTTGCCTAAATGCAAGTGAGCCAGGGAATATGGAGGAACAGATGGCATCTCTGCCACCTTAAAGAGTGGATGCTGTAAGGAGCAAGCAGGTGGGGGCAAGAGCTAGTGAAATACACTCATCATTTGACCTCATTCATTCCTACGTACCCATGAGACCAAGGAAAGTGGTCTATATACATACTTTTACATAATTCCCATGATAGTCAAAGGAAACAAATTCAGAGAAGTAACATACCAGAAGTCATACAGAAGTCATACAGCTGTTCAGTTCTCTTTGACTCCAAATACGTTCTTTTTTTTATTATTCAGTGTTTGCCGTTATTTGCTTTAAAATAACCCCAAACATTTATTGAGTTCCTGTTCTGTTCTTTATTATCTCATTCAGTCTTTTCACCACAAACTAGTGAAGTAAGATCAGAGTTATTCTCAATGGGCACAGAGATTTTAAGTAACTTGATCTAAGTTACAAAGCCTATAAGAAGAAGAGATATGGCTGAGCTCAGATCTTCTGCCTTCAACTCTAGAGCTATTTCCATTCACTCTTTCAAACAATTGCACCCAGAAAGGTTGAGAATTTGCCCAAGGTCCCACTAAGAAGCAGCAGACTGGAATTTGAAATCAAACCACACAACTCCCACTCCGATGCTCTTCGCATTACAATGTCTCTCTTCAATTAGTGACACAGATACTTCAGTTACACCCATTATCAAAGTCATCAGTTGCGAGCTATACATTTGGTTCCCTGCAAACTATTGGTTCATATAGTGACTGCTATTCTGGAGAATAATGGATTCTCTCTAATCTAAAACTTTATTTTTCATTCGAACAAGTCATTGAGCATCTCTAAAGCATAGCTTCCTTTGCCGTTCACAGACTGAACACAAATAACTTATCCATGAATTGTTTTATACTTGAAGTATGTTGGACAGATGCTTAACTGTAACCCATAAGATGTTTTTGAGGCAGAACCTATGAAAAAAACTCAAACAATGTCAATTGATGTAAGCTGAGAAAGAAGACAGGTGAAAAGCTATCAGGAAAAAAGGGTTTAAGGGAAGTATATATTAAATAATGGATTAAGATTGAACACAATTATTTTTTTCTAAATGTAAGGGAAAATGTATGTTATGAAAAATGGTAAGAAACAGAGCCTATGGTGAGAATTATTAAGGTGTAGGTAGAATCAAAGCAGGGAAGAGAAAACTAAGAAAGCCAAGAGGCATTTGAATATCAACTAATGTCCAGGGTACTTCTCATAGGCAAAATCCAGCCCATTTGTGTATAGGGTTTGAGACTTCTTGCAAACAGACTAAACTGTGCTTATCTGCAAATAGACCGATTTTCGCATACAGGCTCGATTTAAAAAGTAGCCTTTATAATAGGACATGTTTGTAAGATGGCCCACAGTCTCTATCTGCAAATTATTATGAAAACAAGGGATGTTAGATTGAGCTTTCACCATTTCCCCTAAAGGGCAAACAACCGACTCCAAGCACAGAGACTGTTCAAATGACTGCATTTAAATCCAAAGTTGATGCAGGGGGGTCTCAGCTTGGGCTCCTCAGTAGAATCGCCTGAGGAGGAACTGTCAATAAACTCTGCCTTATGGGCCCACCCACAGTGATTCCAACTTAATTGGAGTAGAGGGGTCCAAGCAACAATATTTAAAAAAAAATTCTTCCCAGGTAATCTGACGTCTGTGGTATAACCTTCCGCTGTCACTCCTGCTTGCATGTACGTTTCCTTGAATAACTGCCCAGCCCCACCCAAGCAAACACAAGGAAAATCCCACCTCTCAGGAGATTAGCCACGTCAGGCTTTGACCAGTTGGAGTTATTAGTGTTATTTTTTAGTTTAGTTTAGTTTATTGAGTGTGTTCTTAGCAAACGCATGTCGTGGGTGGCACTGAATCACATTTTTAATAGGAGAAACCACATAACAAGTCAGTGAAAAGCCTTTTACTTTAATGAACATGGTAAAAACCTTTCCCACATCTTATTGTTAAATTTAAAACTTTATCTTGAGCAATTCTCTCAGTTCACTTCTGTGCCCTTCCTTGCATGTGGTATGATGCTCAGTGTGTCTGCTGTCTTTGTTCTCATATTCATCTATTCCTTTGTAATGTGGTAATTAGTTTTAAGTTGAAAGCCAATCCCAACTGTGAGGGCTGAGCTATTATTACTGCTGGCTAATGTACCACTAGAAGACCAGGCACAGTAAGAAAAAAAGTTATTCTTATGTTCTCTCGCTGGCTTGTTATTACCAATAATTAGGGAAACACTGGGCAAAATTTGTCACTTAAGCATAAATGAGAATAGAGATGGAAAAAAAGCAAAGATTATTAAAATGAGACACAGTGAGTTATCAGGGAGCAATCACTAAGCCTAAGTCATTTTATGTCCTAGAAAAACAGAGGTTCATCATCCAAACCCTGATCCACTGGTGGAAGGAGAGTCTCTGGAATTCTGGTTATCCTCTGAAAAGACAAGCAAAACTGTGTGTGTGTGCACGCGCGCATGCGCGTCTATGCGTGCATGCACACGTGCGCAGTTTTTGGAGACAGATACCCATCACCTTTACCAGAATTTTATGAGTGAGGCATCTACACATTGGTTTGAAGGAGTATTACCTCCTCAAATCTTCTCTTTCTTAGCAGGTACCAATACTGATTCTTCTGACTACAGTTGGCTCTTGAACAACACGGGTTTGAACTGTGCAGATCCACTTGAATGAGGATTTTTTTATAGTACAGAAACTGTAAGTGTATTTTCTCTTCCTTATGACTTTCTTAAGTAATATTTTCTTTTTTCTAGCTTACTTTATTGTAAGAATACAGCATATAACACACACAATATGTGTTAATCGACTCTGCTATTGATAAAGCTTCCTGTCAACATAGGCTATTAGTAGTTAAGTTTTTGAGGATTCAAAAGCTATATTGATACATAGATTTTTGACTATGTGGGGATCAGTACTCCTAACCACCACGTGGTTCAAGGATCAACTGTAGGTTCCAGGGTCAACTCTTCTTTTAGGATCTCTTTGTTGGTATAAGCCATAAGTACTTGATGCATTTCTTCAGTGTCCTTGCAAGGACTCTTAATTAATACATGCTGGGATCAGGCTTGCTTCTTATGTATGAAGCCCACTAGGGTCAGGATCTTAATTTCCTGAACAATAATTGCTTCATCTTCTCTTCCTTTTCCGCTAATACTGCCTCTGATAATACCTTTTTCATCTTTTTTCTCTTACTTTGGCTTCCATGGCACCATCCTCTTCTGACTGTCCTCTTACCTCTCTGTTTACACATATTTGTCATTTTTTATAAACTCCCTATATTCCAAATATCATTAAAATGTTGGTCTTCCCTCCACGTTTTTTGCTTGGGTCTCATCTCTCACTACACACACCTTGGCTGCTTTACCTCATGTACCACTCCTCCTCCATCCTCCTTATCTCTGATTTTTTTTTTGATTTTATTTATTTATTTGACAGAGAGAGACAATAAGAGAGGGAACACAAGCAGGGGGAGTGGGAGAGAGAGTAGCAGGCTTCCTGCGGAGCAGGGAGCCCGACGCTGGGCTCGATGCGTGGCTCATGACCTGAGCCAAAGGCAGACGCTTAACGACTGAGCCACTCAGGCGCCCCCCCCTTATCTCTGATTGTGATGCCTTCTGAGGTCTAGCATTTTGTAATGATTTTTTGGCATTTCTATTGTAAGTAGCTCATAAATGCCTTAGACTTGTATTTCTGGAAACATGCCCTTCCCTGTTTTTCTCTACCTTGGTCAATGATACTCTTTTGCACATTGGTGTCTAACCCAGATATATGAAATTCATTGCTGATTTCATTTTTCTGGCAGTTTCCATGGACATTTTGTCTTTTTTTTTTTTTAAACCCTCTTATTTCACCTAATTCCTTTTGTCCCTCTGCAGTAATACTGCCACTCTTTAGTTTGGACCTCTTTTCTCCTAAATAGGTTCTTATGTCAAAGTCCTAAGGAAAAGGCTGGAACTGAGAAATTTGGAAACATTGTTAACTATTTGGTGAATTACTAAAAGATATCTCTTAAGCATCATTATGTGCTTAGCTATATCCATTTTATCTTAGAATATGATATAAAAATTACCAAATGTCTCCTTTTTTTTTTAAAGTAATCTCTACACCCACTGTGGGTCTCAAACTCAGGGCTCTGAGATCAAGAATTGCATGCTCTACTGACTGAGCCAGCCAG